ACAGCCAGACCAGGTAAAGACATTCCCCAAAGAACATTAGTGAACCAGATGGGTTTTTCCTTTTTAGTCTAATGATGACCATAGTCAAGTGTAGGTAATTACTACTGTCCCCTAGCTATGTAGCATTTGTATATACAGCCCTGTGCTTTATCCTATTTAAATCCTTTGTGATCTATGATGATTGCTGTCATAACATGATAAAGTTATATCCGTCACATTAGCTCATACAAAAGTGACTGCACTTGTCTGAAAATCTCTCTATCCCGCCTGTAGATTTGATGTATACTGCACCCCTGGGGATAAATAATGCAATTGATTGATGACTATTAGAATAATTATCAATAGAACAGTCACCAGTACAAAGAAGGCTATTTGATTGTAAAAGCTGCCATAAAAAATCCTATTTCTGATTGTGTCGTTATTATTTAGGTAAGGATGGCAGTTTCCTTCCCTCAAGGACATCAGTCAACCAGATGGCTTTTTCCAATAATTGGATTTATGATTATCATTTGACTCCTAATTCCAGATTTTTATTGAATTCAAATCTTGTCATCTGCCGTGGCAGGATTCAAACTTGCGTCCCCTGTACAGTACCTGGGTCTCTGGATTAACAGTCCAGTGATAATACCACCAGGCATCACCTCCCTATTGGAGGTTGAAGTTAGATTTGGAGTTGTTCTCCTTAAAAGAAAAGGTGAAAAGAAGATTCGATTGTGCTGTTCAAAATTATGAGGGGCCTGGATAGAAAAGGTAGGAAAAAACTCCTCCCATTGGTGGAAGGGTCAAGAACCAGGAAACTCTCATTTAAAGTGACTGGCAAGTGAACCAGTGGTGAAATGAGGAAAAACTATTTACTCAAGAGAGTAGTTAGTGTTGTATAATAAAATCTTAAAGAGCTAAAACTGAGGGGGTTTTGTATGGGCTAGCTGCAAAAATAGCTTAGAATCTCAAAGGAGTAAGACTGATTGTGCAGGTCTTCCTTACAAACTAATACGATGGGCATTGTTACAGAGACTAAATTATACATGATTGCTATCATGCAACAAAGTACATCTTCTTTGTGATAAGAACTTCTCAGGAAGACAGAAATACAATGGAGGGAGATTGGGAAATGCTGATGTTCAAAGGAACCAAGATGTACTTGTTCATCAGTCACTGAAAGCTAATAAACAGATGCAGCAAGCAATTAGAAAGACCAATGGTCTGTTGACCCTTACTGCAAGATAATTTGAGTGAGTACAGGAGTACAGAGGTTTTCTAAGATTATACAATGCTTAGGTGAGACCAAACCTGGAGTAGTGTGTGCAGTTTTGGTCTTTTTATCTGAGAAAGGATATACTTGCCATAGACCGAGTATAATTAAGGATCATCAGACTGATCCCTGGGATGGCAGGATTGACCTATTGGAGAGATTGAGTATGGAATCCCACCACAGCAAATGATGGAATTTGAATTCAATAAAATATCTGGAATTAAGAATCTAATGATGACTGTGAATTGTCGATTGTTGGAAAAACCCATCTGGTTCACACTCATGTCCTTTAGGGAAGGAAACTGCCATCCTTACCTGGTCTGGCCTACATGTGACTCTAGACCCAAGAACAATGTGGTTGACTCTTAACAGCCCTCTGGGCAATTAGGGATGGGCAATAAATGCTGACTAGCCAGCGACGCCCTCATCCGTGTATGAATAAAAAAAACTGCAAAGAATCAAATAATGCAGCAATTGAAACAAAATTAAGCTTCACCAAGGCCTGGCAGCATTTCCCTGGATGTGGAAGTAGTTTCTCGTCAGTCACTCTGATGTTGAGCCTTGTTGTGGTGCTTAGAGAAGTGCAGCAATTGCAGATAGATAAATGATAGCCAGTGCTCAGTGTAATAGCATTGCATGGGAGAGAGAGAAAACAGAAGTCTAGAAATATTTGCTTCACAAACTCTGGAAGTAACATCCACGATTTATATGTATTCCAGGTAAATAGCTGAATATACACACACATTCAAGTTGAAGCATGTTGATGCCAATATACAAGTATCCTACTTTTACAATATCTGCTGGAATTATAAAAAGAGTTACAAAAAGAATGAGAGATTGCTATGGACAGCATCAAGGAAAAGGAAGTCTCCGTTAATGTTTCCAATGCTGGAACTAAGCATGAAAACTTAAAGCTCAGTGCAACTATTTTTAAATCTTCCTCCTCGTTTAAAACAAAGGTAATGTATAAAGGTGTAACTAGTGCTCAGTAATCATGAAGTGTACAAACTATGAGCATGTGCATTCTGCAAGTAATCTTCCATTGCCAGCCTTGGGCCCCAAACAAACAATTACAGTGCAAAATGTCTTTTTCAACAAGGTAGCACATCATATCAAAATGTTAGCTTCTGACAGTACCATTGTTTTCCTGGCTGAGCAAAGTTAAGGTCCAACTATTGCCAGATTTGTTTTCAAAGGCTACTTTTATTGGCTTACTATTAATAATTTTAGATTGCTAGCATATCTCTATGAACACGTGTCCCACAACCTGAGAATGTGCATATATATAGAGCAGCTAGATTCAGCCAGTACACTATAAATAGTTGTTTGGTACACTGTGCATTAATGCATCATTTTATCTCATACAGTCACTGATATTGTGAATGTTGACATACAAATTGACCTTTGGAGGCTTGAAATATCCCTCCAAAGATGGCAACCAACTTATTTATGCCAAGTTTAATAGTGAGCCACCAACATAGGTGCAGGTATTTGTCATCTTTGTCACTCAACATGCAGGGTTTGGTCTGTGTGGGCATGTTTTAAATGCCTGTGCATCTTTGCAGCACAGCCAGTATCGCCTGCTTGATCCTTTTCTCATAGTTAAAAGTTGAAATATTGAGGTCAATTACTGTTGCAAGTACAGCAGGTCATGGCTGAAAAAGGGGTCATTGCTGATACATGCAAAAATGTGTTCTTCAAAGCTAAAAATGGGGTCATCTTGTATGCCACAATCTAATCAATGTACAATGTGAGCCATTAACCTGCAATCTTCCTCAAAAAAAAAATCACCTTCAGTGTCACGGAATTTCCAGTTTCCCATGAGAAATTTGTGGGAATTAATGTCAGTGATCATTATGTATTAAAATAATCAACTGAAAGCAATACTTTCTTTTTTCAAAAAAGAAAGCACATTTTTAGTTAATACCTTTAAAATATTCCAAAATGTTTCATGAAGCATAAGAGTGACATCAAGCTAATGAAAGACACATCAAATGGGCAACCGACCAGAGGTTAAATAGAAACAGGTTTTAAGAGGCTTCTGAACGTAGGCAGAGTTGGAGAGGTTTAGAGAAGGAATTCCCATGCAGTATCATTGCTTTCTGGGAATTCATAGGCAGCTGAAGACATGTCCCCTCTTCTAACCTCTGTAATGCTGGAAAGAATTGTTTAACTTTTCATGATTTAAACTTCTCTTCTGATCAGTTATGCATGTAAGGACTGATTTAGATCAATCAATTCAGTTACATCAAGACAGGCCCACCACTCATTTAGTGCTGAGGGACACAAGAATTTCTTTTAGTTTACCTCACAGCAGGGTGCAAAGAACAGATGCCTGCAATTAATTGTTGACCCTTACTATTGGTATACCAGAAATTTTGGTGATTGAAACGTGATTAAAATTTAAAGTATCTTCAACAAAAATAATGTTGTTTTAAGACTGTAAGAAGTAGGAGCAGGGGAAGACCATACAGCCCATGGAGCCTGCTGTGTCATTCAATGGGGCACAGTTTCAGGATAAGAGGCTTACGATTCAGGGCCGAGATGAGGAGAAATATCTGCCCTCAAAGAGTTGTGAATCTTTGGAATTCTCTACTGCTGAGTACTGTGGAAATGCCAGCTTGAAATTATTTAGCGCTGACAGAGATTTTTGGTCTCTCACGGAATCCAGGGATATGGGCAGTAAGTGAGAAAGCGGAGTTGAAGCTTTAGCCTGGCCATGATCGCAGCAAACACAAGTATCTACCTCTGCCGAAAGTGGCCCAATCACATTTACCTATATAGTATCCAGTCTGCAGTAGTTGGATAAAAATATCAGTGATTTCTGCTCATCCAATCATGTAAGCGCAAGCTTTAGTAAAGCTGGTAAAAGATAATGTCTTAATGCATTACCAGACTGTAGTAGAAACAAGAATAATTTTTCTTCCAGCAATTCAGGAAGAGTCCATGGTTGCCTGTGTTTTCTCTCTAACTTTCCAACTGGAATCTCTAGATAGTTTCATACAAGTCAAAATTTAGGTGACTTCTTTCCTCCCAAAAGTCGAGTCCAAGGAGAATAAAAGAGGAGATACAATCCAAGAATAAAAGGAGACACTTGTGAATTATATGTCCTAATAATATCACAACCACTGTACTTGCCTATTGAGGGCTCAGGAGACCCAAGTTAACATCTCAATTATTAGCTGCTCTTTTTAAGGGAAACAACTTTCTGAAAATAACAGAGATAAACAGGCTAAATAGAAGATAAAGTGGCATGGGGGAGTAAGGCTGTAGCAGAAATCTGAAGTAAAACTAACAGAGTAAAAATAAGGATTCATTAGTTATTCCCAGAATGTATGAATAAATCAATGCTTCATGATTTTGTTTGTCTCGCTAAACCTAGCTTTAAGGAAAATCAATAGAAGATTAAAAACAGAAAATGCTAAAAGTGCACAGCAGTCAGATAGCATCAAAAGAAGATTATTTAAGGTAGAATTCTCAGAAGTGAAAGAAAGCAAAGATACAATAAAAGAAATGTCACTATTCCTGGTTAATTGCTGATGATCCTACCATTGATGGTATCTGAATATTTGCCAAATTCCACCAGATAGCACAGACTAAGATTCTTTTAATAGCTGTTCATTACAGAAGAGTAGCATCTTTCAAACCTGTTTGTGGGTAATATGTAACAGTATCCTCCCAAAGGAACATGTTTGAAAACAGGGCTGAGCTGCAGGACAGACCGCCAACACACACAGATTAGACTAACCTGGAATACTTTGTCTTCTAACTGCCAAGGTGCCTTCGGAAGATTTTGCTGGGTTTGTAGATTTGGCGTATGGTCCCTCATCTGTAAAATAAAAATGTTGGATCTGTCTAAAAGAATTATGGAAAGGAATTCTTTGTTGGAGAAAACTGCTCTGTGAACAACACTGTATACTGATAAGACCAGTCAGCGAAGCCTTCCAATTACCATAGCATGCCCAAATTGCCTGAAGATCTGCAACAGCCAGCTCTGTATTCTTGCCTCGTAACATCAAAACATGACTGGTTTCACGTTTGAGCAATCAGCAAGGTAAAGTGGTGGAAAACAGATTACTTATGACAACATAGATGGATACTAGATCAGAGATAGCAGGAACTGCAGATGCTGGTGAATCCGAGACAACAAGGTGCAGGGCTGGATGAACACAGCAGGCCAAGCAGCATCATAGGAGCAGAGAGGCTGACGTTTCGGGCCTAGACCCTTCATCAGAAAAGGGGGAGGGGAAGGGGGTTCTGAAATAAATAGGGAGAGAGTGGGAGGCGGATAGAAGATGGATAGAGGAGAGGATAGGTGGAGAGGAAACAAACAGGTCGAAGAGGCGGGGATGGGGCCAG